TTCATACATTTTAATGTGTTCACTGTGTTAGTTATTAGCTTAAAATACTTATTTACTACATCAAAAATCTCTTGCCTATAAACCTTTCTCATAAACTCTTTGAAAAATATTTACATAGTAGTAAGGGTAGTTAGCTGGCAATTTTACAAGGATCTTTTATTTCGGCTTAGGTACCTTTAATAGGTTAAATGGGTAGGTACATCATAAATGAATAAAGTTTGTTTAACAATTCCTGGTGTGGAGAGGGTTGCTTGGTCTTTTAAGGATTGCTGGCACTGTGGTGAAAGCCACACAGACTGTAAACTTTTCCATAAGTATTTGATGATGAAAATGATGGCAATGCTGACTGGCCTTGAATAGCCATTTTATAATGTGCTTAATAAAATTTTATCTTTGACTTTGAAGGACCCAAATGAGTTTTCTATTCTCACATGACTGAAGAACACTGTTCTAGCACCATCATCTGGACAACCCATAGTCTTTCCAAAAAATACAGCAATTAACAAAACAACAACTGTACTAATTTTCTTTAAAAACACAGACTACTCTAGCTCCAAGAAATACACATTTCTAAGATTAAACAATCACTGTTTTTTATTATTCTTTTAGAATATCTGATTATTTTTCACAGTATGATATTGAAAATGAGAAGTCAAAAATATATGGTCAAGATTTTCTAAATAAAATTAATAATTGCTTCATTTTTTCTTAGATTTTAGTAAAGCTAAGGCCAATTCTAATAACACTGTATTGCATAATTTTATCTCACAGCGGCTGGCATGGCCATTTAAATTTAAGGCAATTTGGGGAGGGACTACAGTTGAGTGCAGCATCTCCAAGGAAACCCCTATTTTTGCTGGAGGGAGGGTGAGAAAGAAAGGCAGAAGGGCGGGTAGCAGGACACTTACTACCTGATCATTGTGCCAAGTATAACAAATGTGTTAGCATGCCCATATGTTAATATAAAAAATGCTTTCTTTAATTAAACTTTCTAATTTTGAAATAAGTGTAGATTCACGTGTAGTTGTAAGAAATTCCCTTTTATTGTGCTATTGCACTGACTAGAACTTCCAGTATTGTTTAAATAACAGTGACAAAAGCTAGATCCTTGCTTTGTTCCTGATCTTAGGAGGAAACACATTCAGTTTTTCAGCATTAAATATGTTACCTGTAAGATTTTTGTATTTACTCTTTATCAAGTTGAGGAAGTTTCCCTCTGTTCCTAGTTTCCTGAGAGTTTTTATCATGAATGGGTGTTGAATTTTATCCAGTGGTTTTTTTGGTATTGATTGACATGGTGGTGTGATTTTTCTTCTTTAGCATATTAATGTGGTGGATTACACTGGTTGATTTTCAAACATTGAACCAACCTTGCATCCTTTGAATAAAGCCCACTTGATAATGGTGTATAATTCTCTTTATGTATCGCCAGATTTTGTTTCTTAATACTTCATTAAGGATTTCAGCATCCACATGCATGTAAGAGGTTGATCTGTGGGTGGGTTTTTTTCTTTCATCCTTTCTTATTTGGGGGTTGTGGAGAGGGGTATATTTTATCTAGGTTTTCTACCAGAGTAATAATAACATCCTAAAATGAATTGGAAGTACTCCTTCCTCTTCTGTTTTCTGGAAGCAATTGTGTAGAATTGGTGTCATTTTTTTAAAGGTTTAGGAGAATGCTCCCAGACAACTATCTGTCTAAAAATTTCTTTTATGGGAGTTTCAAGGTTATGAATTTTATTTCCTTAATAGTTACAAGGATATTCAAATACCTATTTTACTGGGAAAATTGTACTAGTTTATGTTTTTGAGGAATTAGTTCATTACATCCAGTTACCAAATTTATGCATGTAGAGTTTTTTGTAGCATTTCCCTTATTATCTTTTTGATATATAAAAGGTCTGCACTGACATTCCCTGTTTTATTCCTGACATTGGTAAATTTTGTCCTCTCTTTTCTTTGTTCATCTTGCTGGAAGTTTGTTGATTTTATTCATCTTTTCAAAGAATCAACTCTGTTTCATTGATTTTCTTTATTGTTCTTTTTTATACACCTTGATTGATTTCTGCTCTTTGTTATTTCTTTCTATCTGCTGATTTGGGGCTTATTTTTCACTTTTTATAGGTTGTTGACAGGGGGTTTATATTTTTCATTTGAGACATTTCATGTTTTTTTAATCTCTGTATACACTGTTATGAACCCCCCTTGTAGCAATGCTTCCCCCACAAATGGTGATGTCCTATGTTTTCACATTCATTCAGTCCATGCGTATTTTAACTTCCCCTTGAGACTTTTCCTTTGACCTATAAAGTATTGAACACTGTGTAATTTAGTTTTCAAAAGTTTAGAAACTTTTTTATCTTGCTTTTATTCATCTATAGTTTAATTTTAGTGTGGTTGGAGCACACACTGTGTATGATTTCAATTACTGTAAATGTGTTGAGGTTTGTTTAATGACACAGGATATGGTTGATCCGAATTTGTATTCTCTGAGCACTTAAAAAGAATGTGCATGGAATATTTTGTAACTGTCAATAGGATCTTGGCTGATGATCCTGAGTTCTTCTAAATACTTGCTAATGTTCTGTCTAGTAGTTCCATCTATTGTCAAGAAGAGGTGTTGAGGTCTCCACCTACAATTGTGCAAATGTTTATTCTCTGTTTAATGCAATTATTTTTTGCTTCATATGTTCCATAGTTCTATTGTTTGATGTATATACATTTAAGGTTCTTATGTCTTCCTGGTAGATTCACCCGTTTATTATTAAATAATGTCCCTCTTTCTCTCTAGTAGTTTTCTTTGCTCCAAAATCTATTCTATACTAACATAACCACTACTGTTTTTCTTTGGTTGATGTTTGCAGGGTATATCTTTTTCCATCCTTTTACTAGCAACCTGCCTGTATCTTTATGTTTGAAGTGAGTATTTTTTGACAGCATTTGGGTTATGTTCTTAATTGCCTCTGCCAAACTCTTTTTTTCTTACCTTTTTATCCTTTCTTCCTTTTGTTCTCCCCTTTATTCTTTCTGCCTCAGACACAGAAGCTTCACTGCTCCTCCTGAAACTAAGCAGCCATGTGTCCCCTCAGGGCTTTTGCTTTTGCTGGTCCCTCTGCCAGGAAAAGGCACCTGCTCCCCTCATTCTCTTCAGGTTTCCCCAAATGTCACCATCCTGTGGAAAACAGAAACTTACTACTCCCACCATATCCCCTCGTTTATTTCTTCAGCTTCAGCAGTGATCACTATCTAACATACAACATGTTTTTCTTAGTTCTCTCATTTACTATCTGTATCACCCACAATAATATACTGGACTGCTAAATCTCCTCTGTCTACAGCAAGGCCTGGCTCACAGGAAGTACTCAATATTTATTTGTTAAATAAATGAAAGAATTCAAGAACTGGCTGTGGCTTGCTCTCCAGGTCCATCTGTGCATTCTGCCCTCTCATTTATCTCCAGCAGCACTGACCTCCTTTCACCTCCTCAAGTGAGACACACTTCAGACATCCGGCCTCAGGGCCCAATGCCTGCTGTGCCCTCTGCCTGAGTCTGACGCCCTCTCCATCCCATCCTTGCTGCTCAGCTAATCCAATACAACCAGAAGCCAACACTATCTCAGAGAACCTGCCTCTGACCCTTCAGACTAGGTCAAATTCACCACTAAGAGGCATTCTTAGCACTGATCGCAGTTTGTAATTAACATTTGTTTGGAAAATTATTTGATTAATGAGTCTCCTTTACTGGACATTAAGATTTATTAAGAAAGAAACTGTGTCTGGTTTGCTCAGCATTATATTTCTAGCACCTTGTACAATACCTGACACATAGTAGATAATAAATATTTTCCAAAAGAATAAAATAATAAATGAATGAATAAATGAGTACTCATTTTAAATTCAATTAGCTTTCCGAAATGATTGGAGAGCTAAGAATTGAAGGAGTAATTGAGCAATTCCAGCCATACAGGACTCACTTGTCTGTAGAAACCAAACCAAGCAGAGAAGAATATGTCTAGATATCTGAGTGTGAAGGTTGAGAAGCAATAGGCTCTCTTTCCTGTGGGAAGTTCAAATGATGCTTGTCCACTGAGAGCTGAGAAAGGTGATGTGGAGAACTAATATTTCTTATCTATAGCACCATTGAAACTTTGGGCTGAACAGTTTTTTTGTGGTGTCTGTCCTGTGCATTGTGTGATATTTAGCTGCATGCCTGGCCTCTACTCACTACATGCGACTAGTGTAGACCTCTTCACCAGTTGTGGCCACCAAACTGTTTCTAGACATTGCCACATGTCCCCTGGGTGGACAAAACTGCCCCAGGTTGAACACCACTGAGAAAGACTTTAAGATGTTGAGAATGCTTCAAAAAATATTATGAGAAATGAGGAAGCAGGAAAAAGATCTCCTATGTGAGGGAGACTCTTAGTGTGACAATAAATGAACTGAATCAGTTCTTACATAATGACAATTGGAAACATTGGAGGTCCCTGCTGAATGAGAGTGAATTTGTAGTGCTCCAATGCATCAGTACATGTGATCACATTATTTCCTCCTGAAGTACACAGCAACATGGATAAAGAAGTGAAAAATGCAGCTAATGGACTAATCCAAGCTTGGATTTTTGCCAGTTAAATGTGAGGGAAACGAAAGGATGAGGGAATAAAGTACATTAAGGATTCTGATCAGAATTTTCTTAGATGTTAGTTACAAGGAGAGGAGAGGTAGAGAAGAAGGATAGCCTAATATACAAGTTCCCAAATCTGTAGAATCACATGGAAAGCTTTGTAAAATCCCTGTGGTCAGGTCACACCCCACACCAATGAAATCAGAACTTCTGGGGGTGGTGCCAAACACTCCTGGCTTTAAAGATCTCTAGATGATTCCAAAGCGCACGGAAGTTTGGAAACCTCTGCACCCTTAGCATAAATCTCTACCCCAGTGTTTCTCAAAGTGCAATCCCACAACCATCAGCATCAGCATTGCCCGGAAACCTGTTAAAAATGCAAATTCTCAGCCCCCATGTGGGACCTACTGAATCAGAAACCCTGAGGGTAAAGCTCGGCAGCTTTATTTTAACAAGACCCTGAGGTAATCAATTTTGAGAATCATTGCTCTTTAAAAAAGAGCTTTTGGTGACATAGCAGAGAAATTATTTGGAAGCAATCTACCATCTTTTTTTTTTTCTTGGTGGGACAATAGTCCTCCCTTACCCACAAAGGACATGCTCTAAGATCCCCAGAAAATAATACCCAATTTTACATAGGCTATATTTTTTTCATACATACATAGCTATGATAAAGTTTAATTTATAAATTAGGCTCGGTAGAAGATTAATAACTAATAACAATAACTAATAATAGAACAATTACAACAGTATACTTTAATAAAAGTTAGGTGAATGCAGTCTCTCTCTCATAGCCAGTCTTGTCACTGAGATGGCTGCTAAGTGACTGACTAACAGGCGGGAAGAGTGCACGAAGTGCAGTTGCTGGACAGAGAGATGATCCACGCCCGAGGTGGGATAGAGTAGGTGGCAGGGGATTTCATCATGCTACGCAGAATGGCATGCAATTTATAACTTACAAATTGTCCACTTCTGAAATTTTTCATTTAATTTTTTTTTCAACTGGGACTTTGGAAAGTGAAACCATGAGTAAGGGGAAACTCCAAGTGACATGGGTAGAATGTGGAAAAGAAATGTCCTTTGGACACTGGGGGTGTCATCTAGGTAACCATAAAACATATTGTAAATAACAACCAGAATGGGAGGTGCTGGTGTCATTCCTTTGGTGCCACACACACGGGCTGGCTGGACATTGTTTTAGAATGTACGTCAGACTCACATTTTTTATTTTCCACTCCTGCATCAAAGAAGAGTGTAATGTCTTTTCATGTGAGAGAAAAATGTAAGTAGGAAATAGCTAGCATTTTATTTGTGTCACCTCAGAGTTCCTGCTCATTGTTCAGCTTGGTAGGCCAAATCCCATAGGACATGCAGTTTGCTCCACTGAGAATTATACAAAGTGTTGCCGCAGGTCTCAGGCTGTGGATGCTAATGCCTGAACTAACTGCTGCCTTTAATTATTTTCATCTCCAAATTAGGAGTGGGGGGTGTGTGTGCGTGTGATATGCCATATAGCCAAATTGTTTTTCCTGCCATTCATTATTCCCTGGTTGGAATCCTTCTACCTACCTTTGGTAATATCCTCCCTCACTTTCCTATGGGGGAAAATTACACTTGCAGCTTTTTCATCTGCAGTTACCCAAGGCTGCCAAGAAGTGACTCTAAGAAGACTGCAGCAGGATCTGTGTGGATACAAATAAATACAGGGGCTTATCAAATAGCATTCAGAGTATAGGCCAGTTTTCACTCAAGAAGGAAAATAAATAATATAGAATCTGAATTCAAAATTCGCTTAATGAGAAAATTCTTGTGTATATGTATGGGCAGGGAGAGAAGTACAATATACAAACTAGGTTAATGAAACCAAAAAAAAATGACAATAATCATTAACTTCTTGCCAAACATAAAAATAAACAATAGAAAAGAAAAAATATATTTCCTTATTTTTTCTTTTTCTGTTGTATTTAAGTGATATCTATATATTACCTTTACATTAAATGTTAATCTCCAGAGAAGATATTTTTATTGTTGTTTTTATTGTATTTTTTATTGCTAGGTGCTTTTATTTAGCACCTAGATGTAAATTATGAGGTCTGTCCTGAAAGTATGCAGCCACGAGCTATGAAAAATAGAGACATTTATTGAAGAAGAAACAAGATACATGAATCAATGTGCATAGGACAATGACACCTCAGTCTCCTTCAGAGTAGGCACCTGGGCACCTCACACAGTTCTCCCAATCACCATCAGCTGCCCCATCATATTTTCCTGAATCTCATTGAAGTTCTGAAATCTCTTCTCTTTCAAAGGTGACTTTAGTTTAGGGAAAAGCCAGAAGTCACAGGGCACCAAATCTGGGCTATAGGGAGGCTGAGTCACCTGTGTGATTTGATGTTTTGCAAAAAAACTCTGCACGGGGTGTGATGCATGAGGTAGTATGTTACTGTGATGAAGCTGTCAACCACCAGGTGCCCATAGCTGCGGCCTTCTGAATCAGCCAAATAGTCTCTGTGGAGAAATATTCAAGCTTAATGCAAAATCTGATGCAAATTTGTTGCTCTACTTGCTCAGTCATTTTTAATGCAATGGCCGTATAGTACACATGCTCACTCAATGGCATCTATCACCCCCACGGACTATTACAGTGACTAGGACATTGTTCACACATTTGCATTCTGGTCCACTCTGCTTGGCTGCCACATTATACTGATGTCATGCAAACCATTCTCATTATATTAACAATGTCTAGATTTTTACTGGACAGACATTATATATGTATGTAAATTCCTAACACACTTCAGAGTAACATCCCACTCTAGGATAATTTCCTAGTATTCTGAACTACCCAGAACACAGATAAAAACTTACAAAAAATGCTAAAAGGAGTCTCAGAAACAACCAAATAAGACAGATGTATTAATGGATCTGTTCTAGAACAGTGGTCCTCATTGTTTTCAGATCCATATAAAAAATAGTTGCAGCCCCAGCCCACTTTTTGGCAGGGCAGCTGCTTCCTCCCCCAACTGCCTTCCATTAGCGCACCTGCTGGGACTTGCAGCCCCAGTGTCATGATTGGTGATGATGAACCAGGTTATGACCTAGATTTATTCTGCATACCCAAGCATTACACCGAGGTTTTGGAAAAGGTGTTTATTCCTCATGGACTAATTATGGACAGGTCCAAATGGCTTGCTCAAGATGTGACGGAGATAAAAGGCCATCACATCGTAGCCCTCTGTGTGCTCAAGGAGGGCTATAAATTCTTTGCCGACCTGCTGGACTATATCAAAGCACTGAACAGAAATAGTGATAGACCCATTCCTATGCCTGTAGATTTTATCAGACTGAAGAGCTACTGTAATGACAAATTGACAGGAGACATAAAAGTAATTGGTGGAGATGATCTCTCAACTTTAACTGGAAAGAATGTCTAGATGGTTGAAGATATAATCGACACGCAAAATAATGCAAACCTTGCTTGCTTTGGTCAAGCAGTATAACCTGAAGATGATGAAGGTGGCAAGCTTGCTGGTAAAAAGGGCTCCTCGAAATGTTGGCTATAGACCAGATTTTGTTGAACTTGAAATTCAAGACAAGTTTGTTGTGGGATATGGCCTTGACTAAAATGAATACTTTAGGGATTTGAATCATGTTTGTGTTATTTGTGGAAAGAGAAAAGCAAAATACAAAGCCTAAGATGAGAGTTCAAGTTGAGTTTGGAAACATCTGTAATCCTATTGAAATCACCAGTAAAGTTATAAAATGTTCTAAGTCTGTGGCCAGCTGCTTAGTAGAGCTTATTGCATGTGTCTTTTAAGGATTTTGTGTGTTTTGTATTGTAGAAATGTCAGTTGCTGCACTCTTGAGCTCTTTATTTACACTGTGAGCCTAAAGACTATCAGTTCTCTTTGGGTGGATTGTTATTTGACTTGTGAATGAAAAATCTCTTAAACCACACCACTACTGAATGGAAATAATGGAAATAATGTGATTGTATCTGTAAGAAAAATTTAAAGAGAAGATATATTAGTTTTTAATAGATATTTTAATTTTTATATATTCAGGAAAGTACAGAAGTGATTGAATATTGTTCATTATACCACTAATCATTGAGAAAAGTAAAAAGCAGTCAGGTTTTGTATCAATGAGAGCATCTAAAAGATACTATTACAGCAGATAAACCATGTGTTCTGGAATTATTTCAGTAGTGTTTCAATATTATTAACTGTACTTTCCTGTTTGTTCAAATTATTTCAGTGACTCTGTGTCAACAGTTCCTTTTAAATACAAATCAATAAATTAAAAAGAAAAAATAGTTACTCCTAAAGTTGGTTTGTTATATATTTATCATTTAGCAGCCAACAAAACTCATAGTTCTTACTATGGGAATTAAGTGTTCTGTTATACAAAACTGTGTTATGAGGTAGGTATTTACTATTGTTAAACTCATATTAGACATGAAGAAACATGAAGACAGATTAGGTAATTTAACCAAGGTCACCCAGGTGGGAAGTGACAGAACTGGGATTTGAACCCAGGGAATCTGACCCCAGAGTCTGTGTGCTTAACCAAACTACTATACTATGCTTCTTCCACTGATAAATAAAACAGGTTATAAATTTGTTAGTGAACTAAAACCAGCTGTTACCTTTAAGTATACACATCTGAAAAGAAGTAATGTATATCATAAGCTATTTTACATGTCATTTCATAGACCTAATAATCCTGCTTGCACCAACGTTGACTGGAAACCAGTACTATAGAACTCAGAAAAGTTGCTTTCAGGAAAATTCCTTGAACCAAATGCAGCATTTATATATTACCCTTAGATATAGTTCTAACAACTGTGACCACCTGGTTTTCAACTCCATAGCAAATTAGAAGCAGAATATCTCAGTGGTTAAAAACCTTGGGTTTTGAAATCAGAATGCCTTGGTTTAATCTCGGGCACTGCCTACTTTTTATCTGGGTTACCTTATTCAGGTACTTAATTTATTTAAATCTGATTTTTCACATGTAAGAGGTCCATAGGATACTTATTCATGTACTATGAGGATTAAATGAGAAAATGCATACAAAGCACATGTTACATGGTACATGGTGAGTCCCCAGTAACAACAGTTGGTAATGGTCCTGTAGGTGGGAGCAACAGTTACAGTAATAGTGGGAACTGTAAAGACCTTACAGATGATCATTAATAACCCGGAAGGCTAATAGCCAAATGTCAAGATCAATGATGATTTATATATTTTTGAGTTTGGGAATATTCTTCAGAATCACACAGCTTTGGAAATATTAATAAAGCTTTTTTAATGGGACCATTTCACAAACTGGTAAATAGGAAGGAATTTTTGAGAGGTTCTTGGATCAGTTTTTAATAAATCATGTAGAAAATAGAAAAGAAATTTCTCTCACAGCTCCCAAACACAGAGAAGCATATTTTTCTCACGTCCTGTAATTGCCACAGTGACTGTCTCATCCACCATCAGCAGTTCCTTCACATTATCCCCTCAGGTGGTATGTCAGACAATTTCTTTTGCAGTCTCTCAACATGAATTTTTGGAATGCCAATCAAGGCCAGATATAAAAGACAGGAGATCAGATTAGTCTGTAGGCTGAAAACTAAATAACTAGTAACATTTACTACCAATCAAAAATATATGTGCACAGAAGATATATTTACAGGAATTATTCAAAAATAAATTCTTCATTAAGGTGGGAATGAAATCATCGCTGATCAGACACATCAATCAGTTTTTCCATGATAGTATTTTTAAAAATTTTTCCTCATCTTCATGATTATGTAAAAGACATGCTTTTTAGAAAGCCATCTTTATTAATGAGCCATAAATACAGTCTCCCCGGTGCCTGCTGCAGAATTTAGTAAGATAGTCTGCACAAAGACTCCAGTTCATGAACAGGCTCTTTAAAACTCTCATCATAGATGTTTTCTGATTATTTCACCATTGATCAGAGGTGCCTTGCACACCTATAAGCTGCTTCTGTACCTTGTTCACTTTTCCAATAATTGGCATGATTGTTAAAAGAGAAAGCTGCAGAAGTGAACTTAATGTGGAGACTCAAACAATCTCATATACTGGTATAATGTAATCTTATTTTAAAATTTATGTAATAAGAGACTAAAGAACAGAATTTTGCAGCTGAAGACCAGGTGCTTATCAAAATGAAAAGGATTATTGTCAATTCTGAGAAGTGATTGTCTTCATTTAGTTGCTTCAGTTTTACTGCCAGTGAGAAAATGATGAGCCCTTTTCTCCCTGGGGCAAATAGTAAAGCTCATTACTCAGGTTTGGAAGGGAAAGAGTCTCTCGAGCTCAGATTCTTTCTTTGTGCCAGGAAAGACATAAAGTATAATCTTTATGCACAAATTTGAGAATTCTTCTTTTCATTCCTCACTGTGCATACTTCCCTTGAATTTCTTGTCAGGACTGACATCCTAGTAGGCCAACTGATGGCCCCTGAATGTATAATGTCAGGAATGTCAGTGAAGCAATAGGATTCTATTGGAAAGACCATTGGGCTGGGTCAGACAACTTGGATTTAGCCACACCCACTGTTGCCAGACTAAAAGCATCCATTTGCCTGTGTGCATCAGTGTCCCGTAAGACACAAACAGGAATTTGCATCAAAGAAAGTAGTAATTTTCTTTTGAGAAAGTGTCCCAAAGTGCTCAAGGACTTGGCTTCCTGATGGCTTCCAGGAAATGGGTGGGGGTGGAGGCGGGGAATCAATAATCCTGGTGACTAAGGGAGTTAGGGTCAGCGTCAGGGTCATGGCCTTAACTGATCAGTCATCACTAGGACTGGAGGTGGTTGATCAGTGATCTGGTCCCGGTGTCAGCCATGGTATTACTTCCTCTAATTTGCCACCCTTCGGGGCCAGGAACTGAAACACAACTGAGGCTTAGATGTCACGTCTAGTTTGATGAAAAGTCTGTCTCTCTGGTCAGTAGAACTAAGGCTTTGTTCCTAAGATTATTTGATGTTGACCAGAACCTCATTGTCCTGAGGGCTTAATGACTATGGAAGTGGATATGCAAAGGAGAGAGATGCAGGTGAGTCATGGTGCTGTATGAGGCCAATCTGAATCAAAAGGAAAGAAAGGAAATAAAGTTATATTAAAGAAATGAAGTTTCTACCTAGTTCCACCACCATTTACTTGCTCTTTGGTGTTGACAATTCAGAACTATGAAGACTGTTTCAATTGCATAGGCATTACTGCGGTTAGTACAAATGGTGTAGACAGAAGAGATCAGGTACTAATGTCTAAAAAGGCTTCATGAATTTAAAACGGAGGCAAATAGTTCTTATCTGCTTAGATTTGGTTCTATCCTTTCAGAAGGGTATAAAAAGTAGTGACATCCTAAAAGATCCCATCCACGTTAGCCTCATTCTTAAAGGGATCATTTAGAATGAAATTCTTGCAGAAATATTCAGGTTTAGGCACAGGGTAGAATGTGCTATGTAGAGTGAGGTAAAACAAAAAAAATTTTTGGTTAAGGCTATAGATACTATATGGTTATTGAAGTCCCGATATTTTATAGCATTCACTGTATGGTGAAACCTTAAAGAAGGGACTCAAAACTCAGGCCACTGGCTTGTCCATCCATTTGTATGCTTACGCGCCTACTTGTAAATTTATTTTTCTTAAAGGCATTGAGGTATTTTCCACTTAACCATAATGGTCAGTGTTTTTAATTTTGTTATCCTATTTCCTATTGCTTTTTATATTTATATCACCGGGTTAGCTACGAAGTCACTTGACATTAGGAAGCTTGGATTAAAATGTGAGTGAAACCCAGGTGTTTTTACCCACCAATTTTGCAAACACATGACAAAGAAATAACAATATAAACAAATTTTTCCATAAAATAAAAATGGAAAGAATACTATCCAATTTATTTTATGAGGTTGGCATACCTCATAGGGATAATACAAAAAACAAAACAAAACCAAAACCCAAAAAGCATGACAGGTCCATCTCACTTATGAATACAGATGCAAAACTGCTTTCAAAATATCAGCAAATTCAATTCCTCAGAGTTTAGTATCTAATATCATAGTCAAATTGAATTTATTACAGAAATGCAAAGTTGTCTTTATATTAAAAATATCTATCAATATGATGCCACATGACCAAAGGAAAAATATATGATCATCTGAATGGGAACCAAAAAAAGTATTTGATAAAACTCAACATCTCTTCATTATAAAACTTTTTAGCAAATTAGAAATAGAAGTGACCTTTCTTAATCTGATAAATGTGGTCTACAAAAACAACTGCAGCGAGCATTAGACTTAACGATTAAACCTTGATATTGTTTCCTTTGCAGTTAGGAAGGAAGGCCCACTTCTGCTACCACCACTTCTTTTCAACATCGTACTGAAGGCCCCAGCCAGAGAGATGTGATAAAAACAAACAAACCAACAAATACATAAATATGAATTAAAAAAAGAAAGAGAGAGAGAAAGAAAGCTAGTTCTCAGCACAGTAAATGATATGATCAGGTAGTGGAAAATATAACAAGCTACAGATAAATTATTAGAATTAATGAGTTTTGAAGATTACTGAAAACAAAGTTAATATAGAAAATAATTGCATTT